TGCAAAACATTCAAGAGGAAAAGGCAGGTCTCCCTAAAGATGGCCAGCACTTGCTGAGCACCTTAACTACTAAGCAAACGCAGTTCTTTGCATTTCCCCGACAGTGGCAAACCCTTCACCCCGTCACAGCCCCGTGAGGGCCACCGCTCTTACCCGCATTCTACGTGCCAAGGGACTGAGTCCCAAAGAGGTTTTATGACTCCCCCAGGTACGAAGCAAACCCCAACTGGTGCAGGTCATTGCACTGAGTGGTAAAATCCTTTCCCTGCGACCCGAGCATCTCAGGATCCCTGCAGCCATCCCCGGAGCTGCGGCCGGCCAGCCCGTGTGCTTGCAAGCCGCGTGAAGTCCTAGGCCCTTTGCAATTCTTGACACCTGCCCGGCTTCCTCTTTGCAGCAGATGCAGCTCGAGGCCTGCAGGGGAAAGGTTCTTGGCACCCCCCCCCCGGGTCGCTCTGTCCCCCAGACTGTTGGGAGGTTTTCTCTCCTGCTGGCCGGCTTTGTCACTGAGGGACTGTCTTCCCTCTAGACGGCTTTGCAGGACAACGAAAACACTTCTCTTGCACGCACCACACGACAAAGCCAGAAGGCGCTGGCCTTATCCACCCACCTGTGCCCTTGAGCCTTCAGCCATTCCTTGAATGTGAACTTTTCTAGACTCTTCCATCTGCATGCATCCAAATGCAAAAATAGCTGCCGTTGGCTGCACGTTTTCTCTGTGCCCATCCCTTCGTCCACTTTCCCTTATTTAGTCATGCCAAGGCCCCCACGCGAGGTGGCCACACACGTCCTGCCGTTGGCACAGATGAGGGGCCGGGTTCTCAGAGGTCAGGTGGCAGGATGCGTAAGGTCACCCGGTCAGGACGAGGCAGAACCAGGATCTTGCTGGACTCCGGCCCTCTCCACGCTTGACTTGCTCTGCTGCCTCGTTTTCATGTGTGGCCCCCGTTTTTTCGGGGTCCTTACACCCAAACAAACAGATTAGTAAATAACAGTCACCAGGCACCTCAGCATTTGGTGGAACTGAAACGCCACAGGCCGGGCGCAGTGAGTGGCTCACGCCTGTGATCCCGGCACTCTGGGAGGCCGAGGAGGGAGGATCTCGAGAGGCCAGGAGTTTCAGACCAGCCTGGGCAACACAGTCAGACCCCAACTCGACGACAGCAAAAAAAAAATTTTTTTTTTAAATATTAAATATTAGCCAGGTGTGGTGGCAGGGCAGTAGTCCCAGCTACTGGGGAGGCTGAGGCAGGAGGATCGCTTGAATCCAGGAGTTCGAGGCTGCTGTGAACTAGGATCGTGTCACTGCTCTCCCGTCTGGGTGACAGAGAGAGACCCTGTCTCTGGTTAATAAATAATTTTTTAAAGTAGCTACAATTCTATAGTTAAAAGGGAAAATTTAAATTTTTTTTCTTTTTTTTTTTT